AATAGTTGTCACATTAGGACAAGTTGCATTTCTCCAGAAAAATACACTGGCCTAGGCGCGATTTCAGAAACAGGAACTACCAAGTTTGATATTATAAGTGACCATGTCCTGTTTAAATACTGAAAAGAGGCTTTTGCCACTCATAGTCCATACCAATGTCCAAATGCTTTAAATGGGTTCTTTTTTCTCTGTTGGCTTCACGATGAAAACTCATGGGTCTGGAAGGTTGATGCAGTAGGTCTGTTGAGAAACTGGAAATCTCGAACCAACTGTTTTTTTTCTTTCTTGGGCTGTAGATTCGATGACATCAAGGGTCAGGAACACTGATTTAGGAGATCTCACTCAAACTGGCTTAGGTAGGCTCCCATGGTATCAGGTCCAGTTTTTTTTTTTGCTCTATGTATCTCACTAAATGGTCTGACAGCTGCTAAAGCTTTATTCTTTTCCTGCAAGAAAACACAAACATGCCCTCGACCCCAAATTAGGGTCTTCTCCACTGTCTAGTGTATGGATGTCTCCATTTGACCTGAGCAATGGTTGCTCAAGTTCCATCATGTTAGAATCTGTTTGAAGCTTACTGGCATTTACATTATAAAATTTTAAAATGAGGAGTGTATTATTTGATGAGTCATGTGGGGGCTGGGGACATTATTAATTGTCACGTCTGCTGCGCGGCCTGTGTCCGAGAACGTGCGGAGGGTGTCGGGGACTCACAACACAGAGACTCGTTCAATGATATAAAGAGAATTTTAAACAGGCTCCAAAAAGGTTCAAGAAAAACTTCCTAAGAAAGGCTCCCACCAGAGAAGCTTCTGCTCTCTCCTCTACCCTGGCTGGTTCTGCTCTGACACCAGAGGTGGATGTGTGTGGGTTTTTGAAGGTGCGGTTAGTCTCTGGACAAGGTCGAGGTCAGGGCGGTTTCCGTGGGAAGGCCTTTCCCAGGAACTTATTGTATCATTTTTAGTAAACATGTTTTTACTAAACATTGTCTTACAGCTGCCTACTCCCAGGCAGAAGGGGAAGTGGGTCTCTGCTCAAGGTCTGGTGTTCCCACAATTTTGGAAAATTGTGTAAAGGGTTCTCCAAAAGTCAAAGATAAATAAAAAGCAAGGTATGGTTGAACATCCCTTAAATTCCAGCACTTGGAAGGCAAAGACATATACATCTCTATGTGCAGAAGACCATGGGACTGTACAGCAGTGACAACTGGTATTTGAGAAATCAACCCACTAGACATTGTTGGAGAGTCCTACTTGGTAAAGCCACTCACCAGACATTATTGGGGACCCTCACTAGACAAAGCCATGGGGTTATTGACTGTATGTGACTGGTTGTTTTCTGTCTGTAACTTTCTTTGGTACCACTGTTATGCCTCCCTGATAATAATAGCTGTGAGGGTCTTTCAGCAGCCTTTGGCAGTGTGTTTTACATCTGTTGGACACAAATATAATTGTGGATGGCCAGAAGATGTTTTTCTGCTTAAGTTGTATAATATTGATTAACATGAATAATACTAGGATGCTTTACCTTGCTCAGACTGACATGAGATTCTTAGTCGCAAAGACAGCCTTTCAGAAAAACGATCTAACTTTAGACTTCAGAGCAAATTCAAAGCAGGCTGGTTGCCCCTGGAGATGATATCTGGTTGCCCCTAGAGACAAATACACAAGGTCATTTTCACAAGTGTTTTGCTGAATTCAAGGCCACAGTTTGAAGGAACCTTAGTCCGCACATACTTCCCAACCTCAAGGTCTGCCAATTGATTGCTGCCAAGGAAACCCCTGCAACTTAGAGCTATATGCAAGGGCACTTGCTAACTGGCTGGTCGTTATGACATTCCTAGCCTGAGAGAACCTATGTGACTTTTCTTGCCCTGAAAAATAGCTGATTATTGTCCGGAAGTTTGGCTGTGAGAGGTGAGAGAAGCAGAGAGAGGCAGAGGGGAGGAAGCAGAGAGCAGAGGGAGAAGCAGAGGCAGCCCAGGCTGCAGTAATGTAGGCAGACAGACAAGGGGAGGCAGCAGAGGAGGAGCAGAGGCATTGAGAGAGGCCAGCTGTGTGAGAGAGAAGCATGAGAGATGAAGAAGAGTGAGAGAAGTGTGAGAGAATGAATGAGAGTGAGTGAGCAAAGAATGAATGAATGATCTAGAGATGTGTGAGATGTGAGATAGAGAGCTGTATGAGAGAGCTGGTGTGACATAGAGAACTGTATGTAGCTGCAACTGAACACAGAAATATGTAACTGGGTCTGTTGAGCTAGACAGACCATTTACGTTGAAGTAAAAGAGAAGGTCCCCATTAGGAAAATGTGTGCTTGTTCCTTTTTCCTTAGGTTACCAGCAGAAAAAGTGTGCTCATTTATTTTTCACCTCAGATAGAAAAATCTAGTAATCCTCAGAGAACAATCTTCCCAAAGACTCTAAGGATTTCTCTTTATTACCCTGGTGCTGCCTTTGGGTCTGAACCCCACAAGTCAGGATCATGTATGAGTTTTAGGCTAACCTGTTCCTCATAGAGAATTCTAGAGCCAAATCTGACCCTAACCCTGTGCAGAAAACTAACCAATCCTCGAGCAGGAGCTCTAGCCAATGTGAGCTCAGCATTAAATCTGACCAATCCCCACCCTGGAAGCCACAAGCTGAACAAACACAGGGTTTATACAGGGGGGATTCCCGGGAAAGGCTTCTCCAGTGTATCCTTTTGGCTCTAATTCTAGGACAGAGCGAGCAGGGCTGTAACACTTTTGCTAGGGAAACCTTCCCCTAGCAGAGCAGAGTTGTTACACTCGGCTCTCCACTCTCCTGGGAACAAAGCAGAACTGTAGCAACATTGCCAGGAAAACCCTCTCCTTCCAAAGCAAAACTGCTACACTGGACAAACATCCCTAGCTAGAAGAACTTCTCCTGCTGGAGCAGAGTGGATACACTGGGGAAGCCTTTCCCTGAGGCAGGGCTGTAAGCTGCTATGCTTACTGTGGCCTGTGGTAGTCCTTGGCTCCATGATACCTTTCCATCTGAGCTGTGTAACACTCAGTATTCTGTGACTCCAAAATGCCAGAATACCTGTCTTATCCGATCTGTCCATATGCCTACAGGTTCTGATTTTGTTTACACAGAAGATGAAAAGCTGTGGCACAGGTGATCCAACATCCAAAACAACTGAGACCAGGCAGCCTCACAGACCACTATAGTCATAACTTGGCCAGGGTTCTGGGTTTTCTCAGGATCCCTATGGGATTGACAGCACCCCCAAACAGCAGGAGTGGTTTGGAGGGAACTCTGCCCACATTCCCAAATATTGTTTATAGATTTTGTTTTCATTTAAATGGGGTTGGTTATAAATGGTTAATAATCACAGTCTATCTCTTTCTAAAGAAAAGGAGGAATATGATATAGAAGTGAATACTTTGCATTTGGTATGGATTTTGGTTTTTTGATACAAATTTAAGGTCAATGTTCTGTGCGTATTTCTGTTCTTCTTTAGGTATTGTGTTTATACAGCTCTTTTAAAGTGTAATGTACAATTTAAAACAAAATTTAGATAGTCATCTATAATGGTCAAAACTTATAGTTCTATTAGTTAGGCTTTCTAGATATACAGAGATATATTTCAAATGGAAAAGTACTCTTCAAAACCTTTCAAAGGCCTACAGAATATGGCATTTACAATGGTTTATTAGGGTTTTTCATGACAATGAGACACAACTGCTCCTGGCAACACCAATTACGTCAGAAAGGAAGATGGGCATCAAAGAAATGTGTTATTGAGTTTGCTTTCAACATGGCAGGGACAAGAAATTGCTCTTCCCTGAACTACTTGACAGCATCCTGTCCAAACTGCATACACAGGTTACAAAGAAAAAGGACTGCTGAACTTGCCAAGGGTCAGGATGGTCCTTCAAGGTCCCTGCTTCATCAAAAAGTCTGCCAGGCATGCTGGGTCTATAGGCTGAAGATGGATGCCCCAAATGTTACAGAAGAACTTTGAGTAACTGTCCAGGCATCAACATGTCTCTGTAAATTCTAGAGTTTATATACTATCCTTCTGGGATCTTTGATGGAGTTGAAGACAGTAACAGTTATAGTTATGGTAAAAGATAAGTTACACATAAAACTTCAGACTCACAAAGATAGGATAGATGATAAAATATTTTCTGTAAATTTTGCCAAATGTTAGTGGACTAAACATTGTTAATTATAGTTTTTGCTTGATAACTGTTTTATTATATATGATTTTACTATGTCAAAAATAAAACCTTCCTTTTCATTTAGACAGAAAAAGGGAGATTCTGATAAAGGTGATTAGCAAAAAGTGACAGAGGAAGACACCAGGTGAACTACTCTGTCCTCCAAATGCACACACAGGTGAGCACACCTGCACACATGTACACACACATTACCACATTATAATATTAATAACACCAGGAGTCAACAAGTGACTGTGATGTGTAAATGTATTCTGGTCAAGAACTGATGCTAATTACTCACACATTGCACCCTCTGCACACATCGCACCTCTCTGCACACTCTGCATATTACACACACTTTACACCCCAATGCACCGTCTGATGTCCTATACATTATAAGTAAGTGGTTTGTGTTGCCACTTCACAGATTAAAAACATGATATTGGCTGGGCGTTGGTGGCGCACACCTTTAATCCCAGCACTTGGGAGGCAGAGGCAAGTGATCTCTGTGAGTTCAAGGCCAGCCTGGTCTACAGAGTGAGTTCCAGGACAGCCTCCAAAACAGTAGAGAGAAACCCTGCCTTGAAAAACAAAAACAAAAAACAAAAACATGATATTTAGAAGGTAAAATCACTTTTCCAAATGTCTTAGAGTCAATAATGTTAGATTCATGGTGTAAATTCAAGACTTCCCAAATCTGGAATCCTCGCCCTTCTCCTCTATGAGTGTAGAAGGAAGGCTCATGCCCAAGATTTCCCTTATTGGTGATCCTTGCCACAACCTTCCCCTCAGTGATTCACAGAGGCAGGGTGTGCTCAGAGAAATAAACAGTATTTTTTATTTTTATTTTTTGCTCTCCAATGGTATTTCCTTAAAGCCTCCTGAAAGCTTAGCATGTACCAAAGGAGCTGTTGGTGGCAGAAGCAAGCCCTCTCCACTGGATCCTAGCCTGGGAGTTGGGGACCTGGGAGCAAAGAAGAAGCTTCCAGACCACACAGAGCACGAGTTCAGAGCCATCTTCAAATGTCAGGAATCAGGCTACAAGAGAAAATAAGATAAAACCTTTAACATTGGAGCCAAACAAATCATTTCCATCTGGTCCTCCATCTGGAGGTCAGTTGAGAGAGAGAGATCAAGCAACAAAGTGGTGTTGTAGATGGGAGTATTTGGATTTCAGGAGAATAAGTTCAAGTCTTATTGAACTAGATGTTCTAACTATATCTATCCTTTGTGCTTTGACCCTAGACACCATGAAGCAAATAACTTGGATAGCAAATAATGCATACAGTGCCTTGAAAATCACTTTCAACTTCAGCATTTCCATTCTGTAAATAGAGAGACTCAGAAAGTCATTCACCCATAGCCCTTACCCAGACACACTGCTGTAGATTCAAAGCCACCGACAATCCTATGTCTTTGCCCTAAGAAAAAGGGGACAGTGCCCTTAAAGGACAAGCCAGACAGAGGCTCTTGGTTACAGTCTCCCTGCCATAAGCCCTGATCCCCAGAGACTTGAAGTTGAAAAGGTCTGAAAAGCGATGAGGTCTGTCCACCCCAGCCCACTCCTTACCTTACTGTGGGAGAACGCAGAGTTTCCCACACATGCCCAGACAACACTTATAGTTGCCTTCACACTGGGAATCCCTGTCGCACTTGTTGGGGGGATTCAGCATCATACATTGTCCTTTAACCACTGGGCACTTGCCAGGCTTCCTCCTGGCTGGAGACAGAAGAATCACAGGTCAGGTGGCTTAAAGGTCAGGCACCACATCGCTGCTTCTTTAACCCACCCTCTCCAGCCTGAGCAAGGAAAATCACCCCATTTACCCCTCACCTACTCCCAGATCTGTCCCCTGAAACAGCACCTGGTTCCTCTCTAACATCTGGCCTCCAGACAATGAAAAGGTTGATGGCTTCCATCAAGCTGTCTGAACACCCAGATGATTATTTTCAAAACCATTACAGAGTGGCTCCTCAGACAAGAGGATCTTCTTGCTGATGACAGCATGATGCCTTGCCTCACTGACATGTTGGATTCAACAGCCCTTAGAAGTAAGCATTCCTAGGAGGACCCCTTCACTCAACCCTTCCCCTTCAGTTCATTCCTCTCCTGGTTCCTCTGCTGGCTCACCTCGTCTGCTGATGGGAATAGGAGAAACGCATCTGTTACCACAATGACTCTGGCAACACCTCAGATTTCCCGGGCATTGCCAGTCAGAATTGCACTCTTGTTTCTCCTTTCTAAGACAATTGCCAGGTTTTCTGGAAGGACAGGCTCCAATTTTGATAGAATCTAAAGAGAATGTGAAGATGTTAGGAGAATATGGAACATCTATCATAATTCCTAGACAAAGGACCACTTTCCAGAGTATAGATCCTCATCCCAGTAGTCCACAACTTCAAAGGGAATTACCTGCTGGCCCCAGGAGAAAAAAGCAAACAAATATGACAGGTTTGGTCAAGCAAAACAGGTAAACAGGAAAACAATCACAGACTAAGGACAAAAGACACAGGGTTCCCAGTCAAGTTTTTCCACCTCAGGGCTAAGCTAGATTGCACAAAGACAGAAGGGGAGAGTAGGAATAATGGAGACCAAGAGAAATAAATAGGAAGGCAACAAACATGTGAGATGTTGAGAACTAAAGCCAGAGGCAGAAACAGAAAGGACAGGAACAGAGATAGAGTGAGACCTGAGTTGACAGGGTGATTTAGTAATAAAGGAAACATTTTTCCATGCCTTGAAGCCTCATTGAACCTCAGTCCCCAGCAAGACATGGATGCCTTCAGGAGGTTCAGAGTAAGCTGGGGAACAGCCTAGAGAAAGGAACACTCCCAAAGCCACCAGGAGCCCTCACCTCTGACACTGTAGACCAAAGTAACTCCCACTCACCATTTTTGCCTCCTTCCACAGTCCAGAATGCCAGGATCCCCAGAGCAAGGAGCACCATGAAAGGGAAGAAGCCGCTGGACTTCATGGTGAAGGCAGAGTGCTCTGAAGACCAGTCCCAAGCATCACTATTTGTATCTTTACCAGAGGGTGTGGCTGCAGTGGAGTGTATTTGCCCCTCCCACATGCTATTGCATAGTCAGGAAGTTTTAGCCAGAGAACAGAAGTCTTGATACTACAGAGGTAGACGGTAGACTTTCTGTTTCAGATGGGACCTTGAGGCCAGGAGAGCAACTGTTAGAGAGCTGAAAAGGAAAGTAGTTTGGGACATTGTCCTCAGAGGGACAGTCCAGGTGACCACCTGAGTCCTGAGCATTGTGAAATCTGAAAGCCTGTTGCCCTTACTGGTAGAGAAGAGCAGAAAGGGTCAGTCACAAAAGGGCCACCAGGACCTGATGCTGAAACACAGGACGTGGACTCTCAGCTGAGACTGTGCAATGCACCTCTATTTCTCAAGTTCCTGGACTTTCTGGGATTTTGAAATTCTAAGCTATTGCTCAATGCAAATTTCTTCTCAAAATACAGATGACACATGGCTCAGCCAGCTGACGTTTATCTCTGCCAAATTATTTGCACCGCTGTTTTCCCAGTGCCTATTTCATGACTGAAACATGGAACACAATCCCTAAATAAATGAAAGTTGGAGGTGGAAGGACATTGCCTTCAGCAAATCTCTTTGAAGATCAGTTTCCTAGGCATGAAATGACTTTGGACTGGTCCTGAGATTAAGAGTTTGAAATCACCCTTAAAATAATTAATGAACTGCATCCCTGGCTACAAGTGACCACTGAGATGGATTGGAATAAAGGGATAAAATCTCTCACTTGTCACTGTAATCAGCACTGAGTTACAGTATCATTTCAGTTGTTAAAGGAATTCTTTCTACCTCTAAATCCTCTATGGGCATCAAATTTCAGCAAAAACTATGGCTATTGTGTGTTCAGCCCATTGTGTGTAATGCCCAGTGTGTACAAATTGCTTCTAATTATTAAGAGAGTCATCATTCTCCCTACAATTCAACCCAAACTTCCCTACCTGCAAAGTTCTTTTTAAATGTCATGCATGTTGGTTTGATATACATAGTTTACCTCCTCCCTCAATTTCCTCCAATATTTCCCCTACCCTGAACTCCCTCTCAAACTTGTTCTCTTTTTCTATATAGAAGTAGGGGATCAAAACAGCTAGCTCCAGCTGTCCTGGAACTCACTCTGTAAACCAGGCTGGCCTTGAACGCCCAGAGATCTGTCTGCCTCTGCTTCTTGAGTGCTAGGTTGTGTACAACCAATATCTGGTATTGGCCTCTTTTATGTAATTATTAGTGTTCTGTGTGTATATGAATAGATATATTAACACAACCTGCCAAGTACATTTAGTATTGTTCATGTGCACACATTTTATGGGTAACTGCTTGATATTGGATAGCCAATTAGGTGGCTCACGCATGAGGACGACTTCATCTCCCATTAATTGCCTGTATCTCATCATCTGGATAGGATCCCTGTAAGATTTTCCCCCTTCCACAGTGGCATGTCAACTGGTATTTTCATTGTTCCGGCCTTATTTAGGCAGCCATACTCTTCATATTTCATGGTCCCTGGAGTTTTCCAATTCATTTTCCAAGGAAGTTTGTAGAAAATCAAAGAAACATGAAAAGGCTGTACATGAAGTGCTGGGTTCCACAAAATATTCTCTAATCCAGGAGTCAACTGTTAGCAGATCCTTTTATGCAGAAATTATCTAGTGGGTTAAAGTTTGGTGCCAAAGAAAAGAGGAGAAAGTTACCATGCACTGAGTAACTACAGTAATGAGTTAACTCCTAACTAGGAAATTGGAAAGACTGTAAGAGAGAAATGGAAGACCTGACTTCCAGCAGTGGACACTCTTACAGCTGGTTGGGGGTTTGTTCTTGCATGATGCATGACAATTCTTATTTTCAACATAATGAATTTTAAACCTTTAAATAATACAACTTTATGTTTTTAAAAAAAACTCTGAAGCTATCTAGAGGACAACTAAGGATCTACAACTACAAATCCTGAGCAAAATCCAGCAGGCTTTTTTTTAGATTTACTTATTTTATTATGTGTGTTTTGCCTGCATGTATGTCTGTACACTGCTTGTGTGCCTAGTACCTGAGGATGCCTGAAGAGGGCAGAAGATCCCCTGGAACTTGAGTTTCTGACTCCAATTTCAGTTGTGAGTCACTGTGTGAATGCTGGGTATGAAACCTAGGTCATCTGGAAAAGCAGTCAGTGCTCTTAACTGCTGAGCCATCTCCAGCCTTAAGCAAACTATTGTAAACACACACACACACACACACACACACATGGGAATTACTGGAACATAGCCATAAACTCATAATATAACACCTAAACTAATAGCTATTAGTCTCCTACAATGATAGTGTAAAGTAGTTGCACCAGACAGTGAAATATTTACTACAAAAATCTAAACTACCTAATGTTTGGTACTTTACAGAAAATGTTTTCTGGCCTCTGATTCAGGCCAAACTCTCAGCTTGTAGTAAAAGAAACAACATATAAGCTCCAAGTTACATAATGAGCTAATTCTAGAACTTAAGACAGCTTCCCTGGAACAGTTGAGTCACACCTAGAACCTGTTTAGTTGTGGACACAGCCTCTTATACTCCTATCTGAGCCTATGATTTATTCACTAAATTGATTTCACGTACTCTCTTGGCATCTATTAAACTCTATGTACCTATTCATTCAGTCACAAAAAATAACTTAAGAATTGCTCATCACATGTCAGGTGCTGTACTAGGTCCTGAGGTAACATTGAAGAAGACACATTGGGCAATACCTCAGAGTCATCGAGAGTCTGAGCTTTCAAGTCAGACATACCTGAAATGGAAAATGACTGGACCTCTCTTGGCCCCTGTTACTCAGCTGTGAATGGGAACGCTGCTTTTCTCCTGTGTGGGACAGATGTGATGGGAAGCAGCTAGAAAGCCTGCAGCAGTAGACATTGTTTTACAGCAGGAGTCTGCAGACACTAGATACTCAGGGAGCTATCAGTTTCTAAGGAGAGACTCAATACTCAGGTGTAGACTTTTTGTGGCTGTGGGCTGTGGGCTGAAGTGCTATGGTGGTTTGGGAAGACCTCCGTAAGCGGTAGAAGTAGCCACACCCACCCACAAGGAAGTTGTTGAAGGGGTGACCACCCTGGTGCCAGCACAGGATGCCAGAGATGGAGACACAGTAGAGAGTAGGATAAAAGCTGCACTGGACTCAGGCAGATCTCAGAGCAAGTTCTGTCCCAAAGGCACTGGCAGTCCTGGCTGATTTCAGACACTGGAAGGGAACATGAAGTTTTAAGGAACTGGATGATAGTTCTCTCAGTTAAATCCAAATAAACAGACTTATTTAATAGATGAAGTCACACCTCAGAAGTTTAACCGCTCCCAGCGTGACCCGTGTGAAATGTGGAATGTCAACAGGGTAACTGCAAACAAAACTCATCTTTTCAAAAAGGAAACATGAAAGGCTGTACGCATGAGGTCACCAAACCTTGGAGCGTATCATTTCCTAGTAAGCCATGGATGTGAGCACTCCCTCTCTGGTGATAGGGGACTTCGCCGTCCTGGTAATCTGGAAAGCCCAGCTGGGCTCTTGGAAGCCTCTCCCTTGTCTACCGCCTTCTATGGCAAGTCTGAGTGCTGCAAAGACTACACCTTCCTTGAGGGAGGCAGGCAAGGGTTCACCTTTTCAGGAACTCACTCCATACAGATGAGTAGGACCTAAAAAATGATGGCAGCAATCAGTGGCTTCTGTTGGTGGAGCTTGAATTGCTTGTTTACTTGGATCCTGGCCAATTTAATTCAAGTAGAGCATGAGCTAGCAGCCACATTCTGACACTGTGCTGAGTCAGCTTTCTGTAACTCATTCTCTCCAACTATAAATGTGCACTTCTTTCTTTCTTTCTTTCGTTCTTCCTTCCTTCCTTCCTTTTTTTAGCCTCTGTGATTATTTATTTATTTGTGCCTTTTTACTTACTTGCCCTTTCAAAGTTTCCCCTCCCTCCATGCCTCTTCCTACCCCATCCCATCCACTCTTCGGCCATTGTTCCTCTTCAGATACAGGCAGGCAGTCCATGGATATAAACCAGCCATTGTCTATCAAGTTGCAATGAGACTAGGCCCCGCCTCTTCTATTAAGGCTGGGTAAGGCAATCCAGCAGGAGGAATGGGTCCCAAAAGCTGGCAACACAGTCAGAAACAGCCCATACTCTCACTGTTCGGAGTCTCACAAGAAGGCCATATTACACACATTTAACATACATGCAGAGGGCCCAGGTCTGTCCCATGCAGGCTCCTGGCTGGCTGCTCAGTTTCTGTGAGTGCCTACGAGCCCAGGCTAGTCCATTCTGAGTGTTTTCTTGTGGTGCTGTTGACCCCCACGGGCTCCTACAGCCTTTTCTCTCCCTTTTCCACAGGATTCCCCAAGATCTACCTAGAGTTTGCCTGTGGTCTCTGCATCTGTTCCATGATTTTCTGGCTAAAGCCTCTCTAATGACAGTTGGGTATGGCAGAGTATCATTGGGAATCATTTCATTGACTACTGTTGCCCATCATGTTTGGTTCTACCTTAGTTCTCTGAGGTGTTCTGCCTCTGGGTCCCTGTCCTCAGGGGTGAGCTCCCTTTCAAAGTGCGGGTCTCCAGCTGTGCCAGTCATTAGTTGGTCACTCCTACGATTTCCATGCCATCTTACCCCAGCACATTTTGTAGGCAGGACAAGTTGTAGATCAAAGAGTTTGCTGCTGGGTTGGTGTCCCAGCCCCTCCACTGGAAGTCTTGACTGGTTACAGGAGATGGCCAGTTCAAGCCTCCATATCCCCTATTGCTAGGAGTCTTAACTAGAGTCACCCTCATTGATTCCTTGGAGTTTCCATTGCTCTAGGTTTCTAGGTCATCCCAGAGATGCCCCCAGATTCCAGTTGTCTCTCCCAGAAATCTCTCCCCCATCCTCTCCCCCATACGTGATTCCTCCTGTTCTTTTCCCCATTCCAACCCTTACAGGCCATTCCCTATTTCCACTGGTAATATCCATTCTGCTTCCCCTTCATGGTGATATTCATACATTCCTGCTCCTGCTCTCTCCTTGTTAATTAGCTTCTCTGGGTCTATGGGTTGTAGCATGGTTCTCTGCCAGTG